AGTTATTATTTTTATTAATTTATGTGTGATGAGATCTAAGTGATATGTACTTTTGTAATGTTACAAAATGGCGTTAGCGATTCAAATAATATGTATTAACTTTACAAAATATACTATTTTTTTTTTAAATTTACTTTTCTAAAAAAAGGTAAAAAAAGGTGTTATAGGTATATACGTCAAATAAAGAACTGTTGTATCAAATTAAAAATTAAATCTTAAATTATAATATCTTTATTTAAAAAATATTCCTTATTATTCCTCGAAATATACAGATGCTCATTGTCTTGACATTTTTATATCTTCAAAAATATTCTTATTGTATATCTTCTTATCTCAATCCAAGCAATGAGCTTTAATTCTCCGTCAAAAATTATTACCCTTTAAAAAAAACCTATTGTACCAAGAATATAATCTACCATAAGTGGTATCTACTACCTTTAATTTTTATGACATATGTTTCATTTTACGATGAAACATTTTACTTAAATATATATCTTTGTATTTCTATTGAAGAATCTTTCAATCCTTTAATTCTTCTTAAAAGAAATTATTATATCATAATTTACAGATTTTCAGCACATTAACATTTCTTTAATAGAATGCCTTGATTAGCATTAAATTAAAAAAAATTAAATTCAAATTATTTAATTTAAATTATTAAATTGCTTGTCAATTTAATTTTTGATATTACTACAATAGTTCAATTGCATTTCTAAGTCCGAAAAACCAATTCGGCGCACAGTTCAAATAACTACATATGTAATATATAAATTCACATAGAAATTATTTAAGTAAGATTCAGCTTCGACTGTTATAGGCTTTCACTAGTTGTGTATTCACATTATACGGCGGATCTTAATAAATTGTTTATCGTTATTATATTACAATTTATTCAAAGACATTTTTTCTTCCAATTAAAGTAGTAGCAATTTTATTCTTCTTTGAAACATTATCACAAAATTGCGTTACTATACTCCGTAATCTTCAGATTCTCCTCCAGAGAATAATCCTTCGGAGATTCTAGAGTATGATAACGCAATTTTGTGATATAATATTTTGGTTATCGATGCGTAACACGAGTCTCATACATGTGCAGCATATTTCGTTCGTACCGACAATATAGTCAAGCTGTAGCAAAAGAAAAACTACGTAAACGTAAGTATATACATAAAATATGTGTATATTTTTTTTATATTCATAGTTTGTAGATGTAGCCGGAACTCGCGCTTGATAAGACTCGCACCACATCAATTTTTCGACCCTACGACTTTATCAGCAGTGTCAATAATGTGATACGTAGTTCGCATTATTCTGTAAAATTGATGTTGGTGTCACTAGTGTACGGGAGCTTCAAAGTTCAAAGTGTCTCACGAAAAAGGCAGGGATGATCGCTCAGGTTTCTCTCTGTTTCAGTCGTTATTGAGATTGACACAAGTAAAACAAGAGTAATGACACAAATAGCGTTGATAGTGCGCTTCTCAAATGCATTTTTGATTTCTGCGGAGTGTAACATGTGCAAAATGCAGAGAATGCCTGCGTTTAACATTGGCAGTGTTTTTGAACGCATCCGACCATGCACCACTATAGCACCTCTTGCATTAGAGCACTCTTACTCCAAAACTTCCAACATTCTGGATAAATGATAAACATGAACAAAGGTCGGTATTCATAGTCGATTCTTATATTTAAGATCTTTAAGTACAGTCGTCATGAAACAAGAAAGAATGCAGCTAGAGTGACAGCCGAACTTCATCGATATTAATAAAACAGATTTTTAATTCCAAACAAAATATATATTATATCAAGAAAACATACATTAAATAAAACATTACGTACATTAAGAAAAATGATTAAGTTATGTTACGTACATTTCTTGTTCTGTTAAATTCTACATATCGCATGAATCCGGGGTTATACTTGTATATACAATCAAATCGTATTTTTCCTGTCATTTCTTTTGTAAACTTCAAAATCATAATTTGAAGGTGATATATGTTAATACTCTTATAAATTATTTAAATATAGGAAAGTACTTTTTGTTTGGATGTATACTAAAATTCATTTTTATATGTGTGAAAAAATAATCTAGGTGGTAACAGGAAACTGTAATTTACAATTTTTTTTTAGATTTTCATACAGGTTTGTACTTTCCCAAACCTATTTGCGTTTTTTCTTTTATTCTGGAGAAGAATTTTTTATTCTGTATATAAAAGGAAAATGAAATGGTCGGAAAAATACGGAATGATAGTTCCGTCGGTAAATCAGTTCACTACTTAAGATGGGGATTACTTAAAATAAGATTCGACTATGAACCATAAATGACCATAAATGTAATAATGATGATGACGTATCTTAAAAGTTTCATATCGGGATTTTGCGTTAAGAGAAATACTATATGTTGAAATTAATTGCGCAAACAGTTATCAATATTTTAAAAAAGATCAGAGAGTTTCTGTATCTGTTTTTGTAAATATACTTGTACAATTATAAATTATAAATTTTATGCACGATTTTGTCATAATTTTATTCACGTTGTTCTATCGGTCGTTTTTATATGTAAAAGAATTCTATTCACAAAAAAGAAAGTAACAAAAAAAAAATTAAAAGATCATATCTGGATTTTAATTGTATTCTCCAAACGTTTTTTAAACGCTTTCCATTTTATAAATAATATCCGTCTTCAAAAAATAGCATTTAATTAGCTACATCGGACCATATGTGTACGGGAAAAAATATAGTTATTATTCACACCAACATTGTCGCGATAAAATCGTATCTATCCCATGTAGCACAGATCTCCAAGAGGCATTCTGAAGAACTTCTTAAGAACGTTCCCAGCAAGATCTCTGGGATAAAGTGTGCTGTATGGAATAAATTAATATAATATACGCTCAACCTTTTATTAACAATTATTTTATTTAAAAAGTATTTAAAAAGTATTTAAAAAGTATAGCATACCTGAATACTAAATCCTATTCTTAATACGTTATTTAAACGGATATTTTTCGCAGATTATAAACGTATTAAAAAAATGTTTAGTTATTTAGAATATTATACTATTTTTATACATATTATAAACGTACATGAAATTCTACTATTATATGAATTATTTTTTAATGTATAAAATATGTTTCGTATTATATGTACATAGTAAAATACGTAATAATTTGTACATAGTAAAAATGACTATTATAAACATATATCACATTATCATATAAAAATGTTTATTCCATATATTACATATAAGTGTGTGTGTGCGTATGTGGGTGCGCGCGCGCGCAATATATCTATATCAGTTATATACTATTCTTTCATTTAATGTTAATTTAAACATGTACAAAATAATCCTGTTTTTATCGAGTAAAAAACATAAAGTCAGACTCATTGGACACAAAAAAAACTTAAGCAATAAGGGAATCAACATGTTCGATTGGTTATATTATGGCCTTATGACCATCTTCTGTGATTAACCAATTCGCTTACTGCTTATATCTTATTGCCTTACGGTTTTCTATATGTTTCTGACTTAACACTTTCTATCTTTTAAATAAAATTGTATGATACGTAAAAACGTAAACCTTTTTCTTTATTGATCCTAATAGTATTAAAATGTTATCTACGTTTTTTTGTAGTAACAATAGAAAAGATCTGAAAAGTAACTGAAAAGTTATTTTTTGAGTAACTGTAAAGTTACTTTTTAGAGTCGATAACTTGTGATGATAGCTACCTACTTAAAAAAAAAAAAACAACTGTAAATGTAAGCAATTACTTTCACAAGTAACTTTCCTAACTCTGTTAAAATATGTATTTTGTAATAAAAATATCAAGATGTTTTTCCGAAATATAGAATTTGTTTGCTTTTCCTTTATATTCTAGCTTGTTTGTCATTAACATTTTATTCTAAAAAGAAGAATTGTAAGACAAAACTTCTTATGCCATTTTGTATATTACACCGAGTTGCATCAATCTCGACACAATTCCAACGGTCGACAGCCTATGGTTTGTTCAAATTTAAGTTTCATCATGTGCAATTAGTCGAGGACGATGTGTTCTTCTCTTAGGGTGATAATGGAAGGGGTTTTAACTTCTCGTATTACGCGTGGTTTAGACTTTCTCTTTCCCTATGTGACATAATGTTTCATATACCTACCTAGCACGGTCTCACAGTGGAAACTGGTCCAGTTTCGTTCATATTCAAACTCAGTGCGGTCATGTCGGGAAATCGCAGTAATATTTCTGTACTTCTGTTCGCCACTATGGCAGCCCTCCATTTGGTGATTGTGCAGGTAAGTCCTGGTTTTTATTCGGCAGAAAGTTTTACTATGTAAAAAAG